TAAGACGAAAATATATGTATTTGTATTTGTATATATACTTTTCTCTCGCTTTATACAAAGACAAACACATTTTATACCAAAATATATAAAATGGCTAATTGTATACCGAAAATGGATAATTATATACCGAATCAGATGGCAAAAAAATGAGATGTTTGCTGCGAATTACAATTAAAATAAACTATGGCTATAGCATTTAATTTGAATTAATAGTTTGTTATTTCATACAAATTTCCTTTTCAAATTTATTGAATTAAAGTCCGAAAAGAATTGCACCGTATTACTTGTGCTAGCAAACTTCTGATATATGGGTTGATAGTCTCAAACTTCGTATATTTTTGTTTGAAGCGTGATTTGATATTTCTAAACTCCAAACTCTTATTTGAATCTGGATGAGTTGTTTATCTTATATCACCTGTGATACATTTATTTCATGATACCTTATCAATTTCATCTATCGTACATTAATTTATTTATTTTTACTCTCTTCAAAATTAATCCTAGATAGGTAGAAATTTAAGAAGATTCATAATATAAAATCTCAAATACTGAGAATAAAAAAGAGTATTATATATTTTCATGATATGTGGCTAATATATATAATGTTCTTTTTTTCTATGGCTCAGATACATTATTTTCCTATGGCAATATTAGTTTCTTTATGTCATTGTTACAAATAAAAAATTCATTAAAATAAATGGTAAGGGAAAAATATATTTTAAACAAAATGCATCACAAATGATAAAAATGATAAAATCACTTTAGGAAAATTAGGAATTTTGCATTCACAATGCAGCCTAAATTTGATAATATTTTGTTTTTTTGGTATCTAATAGCTCAAATATATATATATATATTAGGAATTTTGTTATTTCAATATAACATGGACTAAAATTTGCCATAAAGTAGTCCATATTTTATCTTTTGATATTAATAGCTCAAATATTACTTTTTTTCCTAAATAACGTTTTAACATTCATGTATGGGATTCTTATCATTTTAGATAGATGTAGTATTCATTTTAACGTCAATTGTTATTCTTTTAAAATTGTATTCTTCTTGAATATAGTTTTATTGATAAACGTGAGATACACTTACAAAACTTGCTTTTTCTCGGTTCAGTCACATATTTTATTGCCCAAACCAAAAAAAAAATGGCAAAGGGCCAAATATACCACTATACTATATGAAATAGTTTAAATATACCCCTAATTATATTTTTAGGCTAAATATACTTCTCCCGTTATATTTTTGGGCTAAATATACCCTTATGACTAATAGAGGGCACATGTACGACTGAGATTAAATGAACTATTCAATTTAAACTAAATCAAATTCGAATATAACCCGCCCCGACCCAATAACTTAACCTGACCTAATATGTAACACTAACCCACCCAATTTGTCTTTCAAACAAGAAAACTCAATGGGTGATTGAGTTCTTGCACTTCAGCAACGTTTGCAACTTGGAGCCTCTGCTTCACAAGGATTTTTGCTCAAAAGGTATGATTTCTCAATTGAATGCGGCTACGATTAAAGTTGATACTATGAACATGAAGTTGGACGCAATTAAGATTGAAAGAGATAACTTGAAGGAAAAATTGGATGCAATGAAGGCTTCAACCAATTTTGAAGTAAACAAATCAAGGATATTGGAAGATAAAGTGAAGAAGATGTGAAGACGTTAATTATGATTTTGTGTGCTCTTTTTATTGGGTCTGTTGCCTTGCGGGTGATGAAGTGATGAATTAGTGAACTTGTGTAATATTAGGTGAAGTCTCCTGATTTTTTTTAATGTACTGTTGATAGTCAAGATCAACTCATGGAAATTTTCTTGATTTTTTTTGTAATATATTGTTGATAATCAAGCTCAACTCATGGTAATGTTCCCCTATTATGTTGGTTATGTAATTTCAAAAATATTATTATCATTGACAAGCAGTGGTGGAGCTAGACTTTTTATGAAGGGTGTGCAATTTTTTTTGAAGGCAACGAACAAAATTTTCTGGTATGGATTTATATCCATCTTGTTCTACCTAACGACTTTACTATCAACATCGTCAATAAATTTTTTTCCACTAAACACAACGTCTGAAAAAAATATTTCTAATTTGGTTTTTGCTTTCAAAAATACATGATAAGTTATATCAACTGAAATAATAGTTTTATAATGAATGGATCGAGATTTTATTGAACACATACACATATTCAAAAAAAA